AGATTTTCATATGGATTGTGTTTTTGATAGGAATACCCATGGATTCTTAGTTGTTCTGATGACCAGACTATTAGAATATGGAACTGGCAATCAAGAACTTGCATATGGTAAGTTTAAATTGGCATTACGGTTTAACAAAAAGCTATCATCAATCTTGATTCTGTATTGTCTATTTCATATTTTTATCTACATCTTTGGTCTTCTCTTCAGTGTTCTGACAGGTCATAACCACTATGTCATGTGTGCTCAATTCCATCCATCAGAAGATATGGTAGTGTCTGCTTCCCTTGATCAAACTGTTCGAGTTTGGGATATCTCAGGTACAAGCTTGCAACCTGTAAGCACAGTATGAATTAATGTGGATTTGTGTAGTTTAAAATGTCTTTTAAAAATAATGTTAAATGACCGCAGGGATCCCTTAAAGGCAAAACAAATAGTTGCATTCAGAGGAGACTCTGTTTATTACATGTATGAGGATGCTAGATAACCACAAGGATCCCAAAAAGGCAGATTGATTGCYTTCAGAGGAGACTCTCTGTTTGTTATGATGCTGGCTCCAATGCCAGACAACCACAGGGATCCCAAAAAGGCAGAACGATTGCCTTCATAGAAGACTAGCTGTCACTCTCATTGTTTTGATGTCAATATAAGATAACCACAGGAATCCCAAAAAGGCAATATGATTGATTGCCTGGAGGGGATGAAAACTCTCACTATTGTTGTAATGTTAAATTTTATTTCTGTTCAGGGTTGCGCAAGAAGACTGTTGCTCCTGGTGCCAGTGGACTTGATGAACATCTCAAGAATCCAGGCCACACTGACTTGTTTGGACAGTCAGATGCTATTGTCAAACATGTCCTTGAGGTATATGGAATTGATTGACACTTTCTTAGCTTGCTATTTACAACCTCCAGGGAGTACCAGGATGCTCTCAGTCACCAAGCTACAGGGGGTTAAAGACAAAAACACAATACATGTAGGCAATTTGTGTGCTCCATATTGGCGAATATCAATTGCTGGTAGTTGGCAACGAAATTGACTATCAGTGTCTAATGCATCTGCATATCATTAATTTCTGGAAGTTGAAATTTAATATGTATTTAATTGTGAGTATTTGACAGACTTTTCCTAATATGTTTAGGGACATGACAGAGGTGTTAACTGGGTCACTTTCCATCCCACAATGCCTTTGATTGTCTCAGGCGCTGATGACAGACAGGTCAAACTATGGAGAATGAACGGTAATGCCACATTTCATTTCTTTCATTGTACTTATAACTCTTAATCTAAGCCATCTTTGCTGTCTTTTAGATTCCAAAGCCTGGGAAGTAGATACCTGCCGTGGGCATTACAACAATGTCTCTTGTGTTCTTTTCCACCCTAGACAAGAGTTGATGCTAAGTAAGATAAAACATCTCCAATCTTAGACTAATATTGCTTCTTAGATCTCCTCAACCTTTCCAAACAATTGTCAGAAAAAATTTGTGCTAAAATATTGATTGATTTTCAGGTAACTCTGAAGACAAAAGTATCAGAGTTTGGGACATGTCCAAGAGGTTAGTACATTGTTTTTATTGATTCATGCTCATTCATTTAATTGACGTATATATAATTATTATATTTATTTAATTTCTTCTTTATTCAAGAATTTATTCCTTTATCTATTCTTTATTTTATTCATTCATTCATTTATTCATTTGGCCATTTATTCATTCATCTTGAACTGAAAATCAAAGGATCTGGTTTGAGATGAATTGAATTGATATTAAATTGCAATTTCATTTTCTTTTCTTATCCAGAACTGGTGTTCAGACGTTTAGAAGGGAGCATGATAGATTCTGGACAATAGCTGCGCATCCAACATTGAATTTATTTGCTGCAGGTAAACTTATCAATGGCAGACAATTAGTTCCTTTCCAAGGCACAGCTCAAAGTCAGAACTATTTTCAAAGACTTGAGATCTCATTCAGTTTTAATTGAAAGTTGTTTAGGATAATGACTTAAAATCAGCCTATGTTATTCAGGAGCAAAAGTAATATTCATATCAGATTGCTAATTGACAAGAATAGCAGTAAGAAGTGCACTGTTAATGGTGTTGTTATTTGTTGTTTAGGTCATGATAGTGGAATGATAGTGTTTAAACTAGAAAGAGAACGACCAGCATATGCAGTGCATGGAAATACTTTGTATTATGTCAAGGTAATAATTGTTTTTCCTTTGGTCTTCTTTATAATCTGTAGTGTTAACTGTGTGTACACTGTAGCTATTGCTAAACATTCATTGTCATTTTGCAAAACATTGTACTCTTTTTGTGCATTGTATGTAGTTAAAATGTATGATTAAACGTATGCATTTTAATCAATGGTTTATGTATTATTCAGGAGCGATATCTTAGGATGTATGAATTTGGAACTTCCAAAGATGTCCCTGTCATGCAATTCAAAAGGTACACTGTACATAAAATGTTGTTAAACGAATTGAAAAATAAAATTAATTTTGTTATCCATACTGGTGATTGACTGTTATGTAAATATCATTTGTTTTCCCCAGGAATTCATCTCGTACACCAGTTTATTCAATGTCTTACAATCCAGCTGAGAATTGTGTTCTAATATGCACTGTAAGTTCTTATATTTTGCAAGAATGTGGTACTAATGTAGATCAAATAGATGGTTGTAGGTTGGTCTATTCATAATGGGCGAATTAAGCGTAACTTCATCCTAAAAGTTTATTTACTTAGTCAAGCTTTGAGCTCATCAAGTCATTATCAAGACTGAGTAAATAAACGTTTTAGGTTAAGTTACGTTTAAATCAACCATAATGTGGTACTTACTTTTATGTTGCACTGCATTTTGTAGTACATTATAGTTTTACATACATTTTTGTACAACCTCATAAACAATAATTATTGATTGTATCATCTTTTTTATATTTTAGAATGCTACAAACCCAGAAAACTGTGTTTATGAGCTCCATGCCATCCCCAAACAATCAGACAGCAACAACCCAGAAGGTATAAAAGTGATTGACAGATGCCATTGTTACATTGCATATGATGCATGTTTGAAATATGCAATGCATAGGTGCAGCAATACCATTTTTTTAGAAAGGGAAGAGAGGAGAAAGACTATCCCTAAGTAGAACCTGTGTCATTTTTGTCATTAACAGGACATACTTGTATAAGAAGTTTGCATAATAACAATGTCTTTTCTTCTCTAGTTTCAGAAGGAAAACGTGGATCAGGTCTGACTGCTGTCTGGGTAGCACGTAATAGATTTGCTATCTTGGACAGGACACACACACTCTTGATCAAGAACCTGAAGAATGAAATCACTAAGAAAGTACCCACCCCATCATGTGATATGATCTTCTATGCGGGTACTGGCAGTTTACTTCTAAGAGATCCAGACTCTATTACACTATTTGATGTGCAGCAAAAAAGGCAAGTGTTATAGACTGTAGATTATAGTCAACTCTCATTATAATGGACACCTTTTAGATGTTGATTAGGTGCCAGAAATAGTGAGTATTTGTAGTAAATGGAATTACTTTTTAGTGATTTCTCTGCAATGTGTATTAATATCGTATTTCCCAAATCGGGGGTGTAGCTTCCTACGCAAAGACGTGATAAAAACTAATTTGCATAAATTAGCATTCACGGTGCTACTTACTGCAGACAGGACATCAGTAATGTGATAAGTTTGTTTTACACAGCAGGAACAGAAATTTTAATCCAAACTTCTCAGTATTAACTATAAATTCTCCGAAAATCTAGTTCTGAGAAACACAAGTCAATAAATCAAACTGAAAAGTGTGTGGTTATTGAGCCAATGAACACAGAGCATTTTCAATCGTTTTGTCTTGGAGTTGTTCTGGTAACGCGATGCTAATTTGCATTGTTCATTTACTCGGGGTGCGGCTTATCTAAGAGAGCGGCTTATACATGGGTAAATAGGGTATATTATTTAGTGGTTGTAATAACATAGTGTTTGTGATATAAGTCCTTCACAAGGCAAGAGTTGACTGCAGTGGAAATTTAGACTAGAAATATTTTCTGGCATCATTGTTAGTGGCATCTTTTTTGATTGCCTTGATTATTTGGTTTCAGGTCTATGGCATCTGTCAAGATCAATAAAGTGCGTTATGTTGTATGGTCACCTGACATGTCCCATGTTGCACTTCTTAGCAAACATGGTATGTCATTTTTTACTAATAATAACATTTTTTTACTGTTTTTACTTTGCTATTGATTGTTGCAAAGGTTTTGGGTAATACTAAGCTACAAACTTAGCAAATTACATTGGAAGGTTGTAATTCCAAACTTCTTAATGAAGTCACTTTACCAAGTAGTGATATGTTAAAAATGATGCATCCACATTTCATCCTGGCTATGTCAGCTCAACATGGTCACAATACAAAATTTTGACTGCTTAGTAGAAGTGTACTTAGACTGTTTAACAGTATATGATAAGGTTATTTAAACAAATTCTGTCTTTGCATTTGAGTGTTCTATTAAAAGAAATAAAATTATACATAATTGTATTTCTGATAATCTTTTTTCTATCTTCAGTTGTTGCTGTTTGCAATCGTAAGCTTGAATGCCTGTGCACAATCCATGAAAATATCAGAGTAAAGAGTGGAGCCTGGGATGAGAGTGGTGTGTTTATATACACCACCAGTAACCATATTAAATATGCCTTGACAAATGGAGATCATGGTATCATTAGAACACTTGATCTTCCTATTTATATCACTAGGATCAAGGTAAGATGTTTTTTTTTTGGTGGAGGGGGAGGTTTGAATAGACTTCTGAACCTTTTACATCACTACTTAATTTTCAATGCATTGTGGGAACAGTTTCTAGAGAAAGCAAAAGAAATCCACTATGTTCTGTTCCCAAACATATCCTACAATGCTTGACACATATGGTACATGACGTAAAGGCTCCAGAGGTCTATTGTGGACTATCATATAGCAAATTTAAGGAAATATAAGCCTTGAAATTTTAATGGATCTCTTTTAGTGGTGTCACACCCATCTCCTTAGAACTGCCATTGAACCCCTATTTAAATATCTCCCCCCTTTTATAAGGCATACAGATGTCATCCAATAAAAACTGGTATAACAAATAGCAGTCCATTTCTTCCAGAACTTCCAATACTATTGAGGCTTCCTGGGAACCTCTATATGTTAGTACTCACATGGCCTGCTTGAAGATGAATCAATTATATACATCAGGATTATATTATTTTTGTTTTGTTTTTCAGGGAAGCAGTGTGTATTGTCTAGATAGAGAGTGTAAGACTAGAGTACTTGGAATTGATCCTACGGAGTTTAAATTCAAACTTGCTCTTATCAACCGTAAATATGATGAGGTAAGCCATGTTAGATTACAATTTTTTTACTACAACTAGAATTCAAGGTTGATCATCATGCAGATTTTGAACTCAATTGACATCAAGATATCGTGAGTAACAATGATATAGAAAATCCTCTCAGCTTCAACAAATGTTTGTTTTTATTCTTGGTCATATTTTTACAACTAGGAATACTGCAGTTTGCAATTTTATCATTTTATGTGACTGTGCAAACTGATAGTTTTCTTGTATACCGTAGGTACTACATATGGTAAGGAATGCCAAGCTTGTTGGTCAGTCAATCATCTCTTATCTTCAAAAGAAGGGATATCCTGAGGTATTATTTGTATTTCCCTTTTATTTATTTTTCCACTTTCCCATCCATTTTTTTTTGCATTTCCATTCATGTAATCATCGAGTCTTTCATTGAAATAAACATATTTTAACTTCTTCCCATCATGAACTCCTACTCACACCATTTTAGAGTTGTTTTGTAAATTGTTGTTTATGTATTCARGATATACTGAGGTTTTTTTTTAGAATGCAGTATGTACATGTAGATTCATGTTTGTAATTTTATTATTTATATTTTATTGTTGATGTTATTTGAAAATATTTCCTCCCACAGGTTGCACTTCACTTTGTGAAAGATGAAAAGACGAGGTTTGGTCTAGCACTGGAGTGTGGTAATATCGAGGTTAGTGTATTCACAGCTTTCCAAACTCAGGTCTAGTGACGACGAACAAAGCATTGAAGTGAGGCTTCAAGAAGGTAAAGTGAGCATAAAAGAAAAGATCTGTGGGCAGTGTTTCTTGATGCCTCGCTCTGATGCTTTGCTTATGTCCTAGTCTTATTATTATGCTGAACTAACTTATATGTTCTTTATCAATATCATTGACATTGCTACTTGATAAGCCCAAACAAAATTCACAAAATGCACTTAGCTCTAGACCACCGTCAATAACAATTTCCAAACAAACTAGCAATAAACTTCTGAACCTTTGTCACTACTTGATTGTCAATGCATTATGAGATCAGTTTCTAGAAAAACAAAAGAAATCTGCCATGTTTTGCCAAATACATATCATGAAATGCATTGCGTATACGATACATGACGTCCAGAGGTCTGTTGGGGCCATTAGTTGATTGACAGGTGTCTATTGCCAATTTCAGGTGTGAAGTTTAGCACTAAATCACAATTCTTGTCATTCATATAGGTTGCATTAGAAGCTGCCAAAGCTCTAGATGACAAGGCATGCTGGGAACGACTGGGTGCTGCTGCTCTGAGACAGGGAAACCATCAGGTTGTAGAAATGGCCTACCAAAGGACTAAAAACTTTGACAAGCTGTCTTTCCTGTATCTCATCACTGGAAATGTGGAAAAACTGCAGAAAATGCAGAAAATTGGTGAGTTTGGCTAAAAACTAAATGTCTAAAAGTTGAGTAATTGAAATGATCATGACCATGCATTAATGCAAGCACCAAAGCTATCAGTCACACATCATGAATTGATGGCTGTGTGRTACTGGTTTGTCTTGCTAGATTATAACCTGCTATACTCAACTGGGCTTACTTGTCYATAGAAGCCTGGTTCTTCATGCTGGGATATTCAGAGTTAAATGTTATGTAAAAGTTATGTATGAAGTGGGTTTCTCTGAGTTTTCAACTGTTATATTCACAATTTAATTATGTCTGTCTGTAGCTGAAATTCGTAAAGACATGAGTGGCCAGTACCATAATGCTTTGTACACTGGAGATGTGGAAGAAAGAGTTAAAATCTTAAAAGCCCTTGGACAAGGACCTCTAGCGTACTTGACAGCCGCCACTCATGGATTAGCTGAGGAAGCTGAAGATGTGAAGTCTACCTTTGAACTGGAGGCAGATATGGTAAGCATTGTCAAACAACTGGGTATAGGAATTAGCTAGTACATGATAAATGTTTTAATTACTGTAGCACAAATCCTTGCTAAGCGGTCGTTGCACGAAAATTTGTGTTTCATGGTGTGATATGTTTTTTAGCCAGCAGCATTAATTTAATTTGGAGATGTTGTTTCCCATACTTCATGATATGTTCAGACGTGAACATACATGTATAGGAATCATAGTGCTTTCATTGTGAACTCTAGATCAATTTTTGTTGGTCTGTTATACTAACAATAGTTGTTTGGGCAGTAGCTCTACTAATTAAAGAGCTCTGATCAACAAGCAGAGTTTTTGTTATTTATTTATTAAATATTATTTCCATCCTGTTCTATTGCAAATCTTAGGTGAAAACAGGCCACATGTGCCCCTCTGTCAATTCAAAGTGTTGTATCACAATGTATCTGTGTTATAATGTAGATCCCTAAGGTTAATCCAAGCTCCAAGCTACTACAGCCTCTTGTACCAATCCTACAAAATGAAGGCAACTGGCCTCTGCTCACAGTCAGCAAAACCTTCTTTGAGGGAGCTATGTCTGCTAAAGGTAAGAATAAATATATAACACATTATGTACATATGAATGCTCCTGGAGTAAAAGTGAACAAGAAGTTAAAGTCAAAATGAGCGTTGAAAGTTAAAAAAGTTTTGACAAGCTTTTGACGTCGGCATCATCAGCTCACGAAACTAACATGTACAGCCCTCAACACTCATTTTAACTCAGCATGCTACTGAAGGACAACTTCTTAATTCTTCAAAGTAAAGTCATTTCCCTACTCCCCCCCCCCCCCCCCCCCCCCCCCCCCAGATGAACATTGTTGTCAAAGACAACATTGATTGAAAATAAACTTTGTTTGTTTGACATTTTGCAAGCACCAAAGCTATCAGTCACATATCATGAATTGATGGCTATGTGGTAGTGGTTTGTCTTGCTATATTATAACCTGCTATACTCAACTGGGCTTACTTGTCCATAGAAGCCTGGTTCTTCATGCTGGGATATTAGAAAATGATGTTATTTAGTTACCTAATGCTTTATTATGATAAAATATCAAGTAGTTATACAGACGTATTCCTGAGAAACATTTTCCCCAAATAAACTATTATTATTTTAAATAACTTTGTCTTTATAGCTGGTGGTGCATCTGCTATGGCTGCTGTAGATGACTCTGGTGAGGGTGCTGGTGAAGGATGGGGAGAAGATGCAGAACTTATTATTGATGATGGTATGTATTTTATCTTATGTGCCTTAAAGGGACACTGTCAATGGATGACATGCGCAGTAACAGTCTCACCTCTAACGGACTTTGAAAGTATAACCTTCGAAGTAAATCACTTTGTGGTGCTTTTGACACACTTTGGAATATTCTAAATCTGTTTACGTTTATGGTCTGATTTATGTCGCGCCAACTTGGAGTCATAAACAGTTTACTTGCGCATGTCATCCATTGACAGTGTCCCTTTAAGTTGGTCATCTTCCCAAAAACTGATGCTGTCAGTAGTTGTCTAGAACATAAAGATAAAAAATGAAAATAACGATTATAAAAACTTTATAAAAACATGTCTATCCAATCAAGGGTTAATTCTAAGAGGGGACTGCTATATAATTCAATAAAGAGATAATCTAGGTGTCCAAATCTTTCACATTGATCACTACATGACGTGTTGATTGATCTCGGGCCATTTTTATGAAGTGAGACACTAAAAGATATCTGAGTTAAAATCTATGGAGTGGATGACTGTATCCAGCCTTCGTACAACCGGCCACTTGTGATTATGACATGCAGTATGGTACTCTATCTTTTATTAAGTATTTCTTTTGTTCTACAGAAGGTGGTTTTGGTGGAGATGATGCTATTGAAGGCATTGGGGATGATGAGGAAGGTGGTGGATGGGATGTTGGAGATGATGACTTGGAATTACCTCCTGATTTGGTAAGTAAGACTAGTTTAGCATCACCACTCTTTGTGACTACATGTACCTCTCTCTACCACTAAGACCCTGTTTACATGAGATAGGGTGTTCCCACATGGCAGGGCTAACTCTTTTGTTTTCTTTCCCTGGAGGATTGAAAACGAAAGAGTTTAGCTCTACCACGAGGGGCACCCTATCTTATGTAAGAAGGATCTAACACTAAACAATAAAAAGCCATTGTAAACCAGCATGCAATGCAGTCGTATTGTATATTTTTTATTTAATATTTTTAATTTTGAGATTTGAATGTTATTGCAGTTGGACGACTGTCACTCACTCACTCGCTCGCTCACTCATTCCCTGTAAACTGATATTGGGTTTCCTGTGTTGTGTACCACCATTTTCTTTACCTATTTTACTAGAACTTCATAATACTTTGTTCTCTATTATAGGATGTTGGTGGACCTGATATACCATCAGGGGAAGAAGGATATTTTGTACCACCAACAAAAGGAACCAGTCAAGCCCAGATATGGTGCAACAATTCACATCTTCCTGCTGATCATGTTGTTGCTGGCTCATTTGACACTGCTATGAGGGTAATTATTGGTGTCTTTCATCTTCTCCTTATCTCATTTTAAGAAAGTTAACATAAGGCTTGATGATTGTGAATTTAACTTTCTCAAAAGTAATTTCAGTGCCTGGCCAAAACTCTCAACTTTTGTTGCCTTTTTTAGCTTCTTCAAGAACAGATTGGTGTTGTGAACTTTGAGCCTTTTAAGTCACTGTTCATGTTAGCTTACTCAAGGTCAAGAACCGCTATCATAGCAGGTCCAGCTTTACCTAACTTATTTGGCTTTCCACACAGAAACTGGTAAGGAACTATAGTAGAACATGAGCTCTGATTGGTCAGTAATGACACTTATTGAGAGCAAAAGACAAACTGGGCATTGTGACAAAAATGAGTTTCCAACAAAATCTACTAAATTAAATTTTGATTGCTCTTAAATACTGGATAATATTACAAGTAATACAAAGTAACAGACTCTGGGCTTCTGTTTTGTTTGGTTAATGTATTTTGTTGTTTGAAGAGCATCAGGTGTATGTTTATTACCAGAATATTATTATTGTTATACTGTAATGATTACAACAAAGCATGTGCACTAGAGCGGATTTCGTATGAGTAGGAAACGGACGGTACTGTACTGTGACCGTAATCGTACTGTAACCAAATTCTTGGTTCACCAAAATTGTGAAGGCCAGGTCCGGTAACCGTGCGTTAACGGTGTCCCACTCATACGAAATCCGCTCTAATCTTTCCTCCCTTCAATGATACAGGCATCAGATATTCTTGTTATATCAGTGACTCTTGTATGATACATGTGTTGATATTTTCTTTATCCTTTACCCAGGAAAGAGGCTGGAGGAAAGGGCGGTTTACCAGCAGTTGGGCTTAAGCTGAGTACACTTGTACAGAGATTACAGGTACTAATTATTTCTATCAAATTCTTATTACTTTCAGATTCTAAATAAAACAAGGAATAATGCACCATTTTACTGTTTTTCAAAGTGATTATTATTTGTAACTGGAATTTCTTTCTTTTCGTGCTGGAAAATTCAACAAATCTTTCAACTTTTGAAACATTACTTATCAAAATAACTTATTCACCATTTCCAGGCAGCATACCAGTTAACAACTGGAGGGAAATTCCAGGAAGCCATTGTCAAGTTACAGGAGATACTGCTAAGTGTACCACTAGTGGTGGTGGATACCAAGCAAGAAATCAGTGAAGCTCAACAGCTTGTTGGTATCTGTAAGGAATACATCTTGGGATTACAAATGGAGAGTAAGAGAAAAGAACTGCCTAAGGTAAAGTATTTAATTGACCTTGCCTTATCATGTAATCCCCTTCTATCAATCTCCATCAAACCTACTGTGCTGTGCATTCTTCTCTTTATCCCTTCAATCTATTGGTTCATCTTTCCTTCCATCCCATCAATCTATCCTTTATTCTTCCCTCTTCTTCTTCCTTCCTCTTTTCTTTCAACCATTCCTTCCTTCCTTGTTTTCCCTCCTTCCTTCCTTTCTTACTTCCTTGCTCCCTTTCATCCTTCCTTCCTTCCCTTCTCCCTTCCTACCCTCCTCCCTTTGTTCTCTCCTCCCTTCCACCATTCCTCCCTTCCACCATTCCTCCCTTCCTTCCCTTCTCCCTTCCTTCCTTTTTCCTTTTCCCCTTCCTTCCTCTTTTCATTTTTCCATCTATATCCATCCATTTGTCTACTTCTTATTTGTGAATTCAATCATACTTTTACTCCAATTTACATTCATACATTGTGTCATTTATTTTGTCAAAAATGTTGCACTGACATATAATTTCTTCATTTATTATACAGAGTAATCTTGAAGAACAAAAGCGTATATGTGAGGTAATAACTTCAATTAAGTGTGATTTATTTGATACTGATGCCTTGTCATGGAGATTTGATTAAAATAACAATAATTATTACACTTTAAAGTTATTGAATATTGCATTGGTTTGTATATTTATAGATGGCAGCATACTTTACTCACTGCAATCTTCAACCAGTTCATCAGATTCTTACTCTCAGGACTGCACTTAACCTCTTCTTTAAGGTACATGTACACACCATACAATGATATGTAATATTTCTCTTTGCACGTTTTTATGCAATATTTCTTAAAAACTTTAAACTTTAAACTTTTTTTGTTGTATCATGGTGTCTTAACAAACAAACAATATGTGGATGGGATTGACTGCACTTGAATGGAAAGAGAAATTTAGACAGTAGGCATTCTTGTTCATGCAATGACATGATTGTTTCTTTTTTGTTTATACAGCTAAAGAATTATAAGACTGCTGCTTCGTTTGCYCGCCGGTTACTTGAGCTGGGACCTCGACCTGATGTAGCTACTCAGGTAACAATATTATCAAGTACACTATGCAATACATTAAGATATTGATTGACAAATGGTCTTCTGATTGTAGACTCGCAAGGTTCTACAAGCTTGTGACAAGAACCCTACCGATGCTCACAAATTACAGTATGATGAACTTAACCCATTCGCTATCTGTGGCTCATCCTATAAACCTTTGTACAGGTATAAAAAGTGTCTGTATGTCTGAAATATTTGTTTTGGAAAATGTCTGTCACGTTTTACCAATGGTCACATGATAACGGTATTTAACTGGGTACATATTTCTATTCACAGAGGTAAACCACAGGAAAAATGTCCCCTTTGTCAGACAAGTTACTGCCCTGAGTTCAAGGGAACTGTTTGCAAAATCTGCAAAGTGAGTAATGTTTGTGTTTTTTTATGATACCATTTATATCTGTGAATAAATAAAGATTAATGGATGGTAATAATGTTATTTATTTGATGAGAAACTTTATTTTATAGAGCAGTTTTTTAATTGAATGGAATAGATTTGTTGTTAGTTGTTGTGGGTTAGGTTGTTGCTCAGTTTCTTGATTGGTTTGTTAGATGCTTAATATTTGGATCATTGATTATTTAACCAAGCTGCATAACAAGGGGACCTGGAGAGGAATAATTACCCAGCCTTTCTTCTCTGTCCCCAGTCTCCCCATGCAGCTACACAGGCTGCCCATTGCTCAATTGGTTTGTTATTTTAACTTTTACAGGTTGCTGAAGTTGGCAAGGACTCWATTGGACTTAGAATCAGTCCAATCCAATTCCGCTGATAAACAAATACTACAAAGATTTATAATAAATAGCTGGTTTTTAATTYTGTGAGAAAGACATTGAAACACCATCGTAAGTTTTCAAGTAACAAAGACTTGGATGAGGGAAATGGTTGTTGAAGTACAGGAAAAAAGAATGGAGAAAACATAGAATCAAGACAACACACAAATGAAATGTAGTAGGGTGAAATTGATGTTGCTGTTAAGACTCCTCAATTCACACAATATAGGATTTATGATTACCTTATAATTGCCCTTAAACCRTGGCGCTACTTCAGCTAGGAACAATCCCATCTTTTGAACAAGATATTCAATAACATCATACTTCAAGTATGATCTAACATATACTGAGCCAATCACATTTGACAAATGTGAATTYCCTAACCTGACTGGGTAGCATTGTTATCCAGTTCATGTTGTCCCAGTCGACGTAGTTGCTGTGTGATATGTGATATTAATATTAGAAACAATGTCTTAAATTAGTAAGTAACACACAAACTCTACCGTCCCAATCTTATATAACCTCCTGACACTACTTACGTTGTATATGGAGACAGCAGTTTATCTTAGAAACCCTAACTCTCTACTTTTATGTGATATACAAGTAGCTTATAAATTTGTCATACAGTAGGTATTAGTAATCTATCAATGGTATTTACAGAATAAAAATAAAACTGAAAGAATTTAACAGTCTTTATTGATTTGTTCAAATAGTGAATGGCCAGATTAAATTCTGGCATGCATCCAGGAGCCTTTGCGTTTGTTTTTGTTGTTTGCTTTTTTTCATTACAAATGTTTCTAGTTRTTGAAAGGGCTTTTCTGATTGATTCAAAATCAAAGATAATTTTCGTATTTCATAAAAATGATTTTCTATAATCACAAATACTAAATTTATTTTAGTAGGATGAAATAGAGCAAACGCATTCTGGTTCATTGATACTGACAATTTGTATCTAAATAGGTGCTATTTGTTAGTATTTAGTTTGATTTTATTTCATGGTTTTCCTGCATTTGCTCTAATGTTTTGGAGAAAAATTAATTGCGAAAAGTGTTGATTTTCAGCTGTAATTCCCCAAGTGCGGTATCCATGTGGTACTATGCATGTTCCAAAGAAATGACTGCAGAGGAGACTAGTATCTCAACATCTTCAATTCACGCTGAAATGATCATGATCAATTCTTGATAAAAATGCATGGGCTATAGCGCACCAAAATCTAGCACAAGGAGAGTTAGAAATACTCTTCTTATGTTTCATGCTTATGTTTGCGCTTATGTCGCGTGAAAACATGGTTATCATTAAAACATGGCTTCTACTGTCGTAGTGATTAATCTTCCATCTATCATTTTACTTGCGTCTCAGGACAGCGCAATGTTGTATATTTCGCCTTTGCGCTTTTCGGTTTGGGGTTCCTGTGGCGAAKCGTTACCAGGTTTCCACGGTCATGAACCACGCGGTAAATTCAAAATGGCGGCGAGTGCAAACATTGTGTGTTTTGTTTCTCTCACTTCAGGGCTTTTTCATGGGCAARAGTAAAGGAAAAAGAGATTTTGTGAACAGGTAAGACACATGTATAAACTAAACTGTGGAAAGGTTATGGAAAATAGTCAGTAACAGTCGTTTTCAGGCGTATATTTGTAATAATATTTCAACCACGTGTTTTGAGTTTTAAAAGTGTTTATTATTGTTGTTTTTCATTGTGTTTCTAGTGCAGGACTWACATCAAATGGGGTCCATATGAGCAATTTATAGTGATATATAATAATTATAAACTAGTGTTATAGTATAGTCACCAATAGAGTACAAACACAGTACTGTAACACTAAAACTGTGCTACATAAATACCACTAAATACTGCTAATTTACGCTAATTCTTTTATTTTCTATTCTTGGCACATAATTGGCACCATTTTGTAGTAAATAATGGAAAGTGCTGTACGTTTTTAGTGTTTTTAATCTATCATTGTTGTTTTCTTTGGCATATTATTATATGTTATTTGGTTTACTTAAACTTAAAATTGGTATACATAATAAAAATCTGATAAAATATAATGCATTTATAGTGGGAATGTTAGATTAAGAGAGATAAGGTTTAGGCTTAAAAGCAATGCAAACACCTGAAGTTCCTCAAATGTTTTTATACAAGATTTCCATGTTATAGTTCAGTCTATAGTTCATGGTTAGCAATTTCTACCCCATTTAAAGGGACACTGTCAATGAATGACATGCGCAGTAACAGTCTCACCTCTAACGGACTTTGAAAGTATTAACTTCGAGGTAAATCATTTTGTGGTGCTTTTGACACACTTTGGAATATTCTAGATCTGTTTACGTTTACGAGCTGATTTATGTTGCTTCAACTTGGAGTCATAAACTTGAAAACACTAGCCTAGTGTTTTCAAGTTTACTCACGCATGCGTGCCATTGACAGTGTCCCTTTAAGTAAGGATCGAATCAGAAAAGATAACCAGATTTATAATATTTGATCAAATTAGTATTTTTATTACTAATATTCTTATTGCTGATATTATTATTTGCAGGTCATGTTTGCAATTGCCAGGGAGCAAGCCAACCTCTTGGATTCCACACTGCTGATTTTGTTTTCCAAACAATAAAAATCTATTCCCATCTTTTTCCCACCAAGACAAACAGATCTTGGTTCAACCTTCCTCCCGAGTCTACCTCTCCCGTTTATCTTAAACTTCCCACTTTTCCCATTTATCTCTACCTTCCTTTCCTTCTTTACTTTCTAAAATCCTTTCATTTCAAGGTGAAGTTCAAGTATTTTTTTCATATTTTCATTTTATTGATTTTATGTGCATTTGATACATCGATGCATGTTGCAGTATTCTCATTAGTCTGATATTTGAACTTTACCTAAGTCTAAGTACCCTGCCACAATGTACCCCTACCCTCTGAAGTTTGTCATTTGTGTTTTTGTTTTTCTTGACTCTGTTGATGTAAGCATAGGCAAAAACATGTAATGAGCAAAGCATTCCTGTCCATGTGATCTGTAGAAGACAATGAATTTTCTCTTTCTTTTTAACCATTTAAGGTACATCTTAATTTTGCATTTATTTGCCTATGCTTGACATATCCTTTTGTAAGTCTTGCATTTTATGCTTACATCCAGTTTCCACAACATTAGAGTTGTTTTTGTAAACCTGTGATACCAGCGTTTATGTCTCTCATTTGCTGGTGATTTTCATTGTTTGTTTTTCCTGGTGTATTGCAGTATTCTCACAGTTTTTTGGAAGTAACTCTAATGTTAGTGTCATAGCTGTGTATCCTGGCTAGTGAAAACCAGGCTGTTTTTCCACAAGTGATTATCACCAGACTGTAAAGTAGAGAAGTGATTTGTTGGCTTATCAATTTTTTCTGTCAAGAAAAACTGTTCTTGATAGCAAACTTTTCAAAGTTTTTCATGAAATTTCTATTGCTGCAACAAATGTTGAATGAGTTGACTCTACCATTGGAAAAAACATGCTATTCCAGACCTACCAGAAAACTCTTAAATGTGGCTGGAAAACAACAGATTCATTGGTAACTCTGGATTCAAAAAATTTATGTGATGCTTGTATATTATTCAATAATAGTGGCTTCACTATTTCACAGTCTGGTCACTACATATTGAAGCCCAAGTGCATCTGAGGGCCTCTTCCATTATAAAAAACACAAAGCGTTTAGTTTCAGTGACACAACCTTTCCAAGACAGCTGTGAGACGTTCTCAGATGCTCATGGGACAGTATGTACACAATTTGGATCATATAAACTGACTAGAATGGATGACAAGTCTTGATTTATCAATTTACTTGACATTTCTAGGACATTATTTCATGCTCTTGAAAAAGATTGATGATGAAACATTAAGTAAGCTGATAAATTAGGACTTGTCTTTCAAAACGGCATAGTTGGGTAGTAGTTTGTAAGTTGTCATAGTGGTCAGTCTCAAAACAGTCAAGGGAAGTCTCGTTCCTTGCCTTGAAGTAGCCCAGGGAACCCAACAATACGAATGAATACAAAGGATATTACCAAGACTTCCCCTTTATTGTTTTGTCCCTGATTACTCATATAAACAAAGTCTGGTTCACATAAAGACATCAGCATAAATAATTATCTTTATGTCTTTTGTGTTTGACTTCTGATTGTCTTTCTGTGAACCAGACTTAACATATTGTTGACATTGTATATCAACAAGGGGATTAGGCATTGTGTATCTTATTCCCCTGGGAATTAAAATATGACAAAATAAAATACTATGGAGGTGTGTGTCTGTGTGTCAAGATGTTTATTGTCTTATGCAAAATATATATTCTACATACTATTTATTAGCTATCTATATAGGTATCTACTAGGTATCCAGCATACTACCTACTKGGGTATTTTAGACAGCCCMCCCCCCTCTGTCCTCTCCCCCCTATAATCCCCCCTCCCCTATCTCCCCCCTCATCCGCCGAGCTCCCATGGGACCACCGATGGCCCTTGGGACCCCATTTGGCTGGGGGAGGGGTGGTACTTGACCCACCCCACCCCTGCTGGTTGTTTGACCACCCCACCCCTGCTGATTGCTCGACCACCCCACCCCAGCCTACTGCGACCACCGCACCCTTGTTTACTACTTGTTTACTATTGCATTAATTTGAATCCAGAAATAAATAAAAATTTAATTTTTGAAATTTATCTTAGTTTCCAGAAAGAAAGAAATCTATAACCGAGATTTGAACTCCTAACCTTCAGATTCATAGCCCAACCACTAACCCACTAARCYATCTAGTCGAAGTTGCTGGTCAGGCTTCGAAATTTAACTTTATAGCAGCTCGCAATTCATGCAAATTCAAACAATGACTTTTGATGTTGAGCGGTTTGAACCAGCGATTCACTAGGTGGCTTGGTGGTCAAGACATCAGACTACTGGATACGAAGGTAAGGGTTCAAATCTCACTGTAACCAATATTTCTTTCCTTTCACAGGTTAATGTATGTACTGACTTTAATTTCACAGGGTTCTAAAGCTGGCGCGCAATATAAAACTGTAAACAACTAAATGATAAAAAAATAAACTAAACTCAATAAACAAAAACGATAAACTATGAACTAATCACCATAACAATAACACAAAATCCATTGTTATTCAAACTGCCAATCATTGAACACTAAAACTTTAAAAAATACACATAAACACCCTTAGTTAAATCAATGTAAAAGTGAAGTTCTAAATGTTTCRATCAAGTTAAACTTTGAAGTTTTTGACAAGTTTTCCAGATAATTTTTTTTTATTTATATCTTATACATCATACTAATCTTACATGAAAAAACAGTTTTATATTGCGCACCACAGCTCTAAGTCCCCTATGTAAGTTCATTTTACTGTTATACCCAAAATTCACACCAGAAGTGATTGAGCATAATCATTCAAAATAAAAAATTCAACTCGATACAAAAATTGGGAAGATACATGTGTAATAAGGTTGCTTTTATATAATTGACATCAGTGAATTTCAGGTATAACCAGCTTTTATAGTCTGCTATTATTACAATTTAAGTTTCCTGCTACCAGAGTCTTCCACAGTTGTCCCGGCATGAAAATAGCCAATTTTACTTTTAAAGTAAGCATTCTCAAACAGAGTGTTCAAAACATCCCAAGCTCAATAAATTCATTAAAATTCACATAATATTGCCAGAATCAACTRTGAAAGCCCTGTCGGATTCCCTTTGATGTCATTAAACCATCACACCCCCAGTTTCCCTTGTTTATTAAGAGGTTGAGTGACCATTTTGTTAATGATAGGCCCTGTTGTGGTCATCCATAGGATCATCATTGAAAGGATCTCCTGTAGGCCAGGGTGSCAAATAGTCGGATTCTCTTATTTTATAACAACAAATTCAAAACACCAAGCGAGGAAATTTACTAAGAAGAGATACATTACTTAGATGCATAATATTCAGAAAATCTGCACGAGAGTTTTGTCTTTGCATGTTACAACCTTTTGCCACCCTTTACTGAGCCTACATACATGTACTTGAGAAAACGGGGGGGAGACCACTGTACAGGTTACCCCTCCCTGTGTTTCGCTCTCATACAGACAAATTCTTCACATTGAAAACAAACAGAATGATGTGCATTCAGCCTGTGAAATATTGTTCCAGAGTACAAATTTTAAGCAATAAATGATATCAACATGAAAGAAGACAATATAATCAATACCTAAGTGGTATTACATGTATATATCTTTAGGTTAGGTATGTATGCGAAAGTAATATCTGTTTCACAGGCTTGAAATTCCCCATTCTGTACAATCAAAACTACCATATCACTCACTCCACACAGACACTGACAATTACCAAGCAATAAGTACAAGTACTTTAGAAGAACATGAAGACACTGTTTTAATATCTTAAACCATGATCAAACTTAGCAATCTTCTTAGGAGAGGATTTTTCTAATTCAGTTTCAGCTGCTGAAAGAAAAAGGAACAATGTCTTGGCAAAGAACCACACCCTTTAAGGAGCATAGAATGGTGTCTAAAAAATTGTGAGGCTCACCAAAAATTTCCAAAGTCTCACAAGCTCAGCGCTTAAGAAAAGGGCTCAGATTTAATATTGCCTTTGGCTCAGAAGCTTGCAATAAGTCTTTTTCTAGCTCACTGCAAGCAACCGCTGTTTTAGTAGACAACAGACTCACTTGCGTAGAGAACAAAAGAAAGCACAAAAAATGTTGACATTACAATAGCTCTAGAAATTTGAATCTTCTCCGATTTGAGGCTTCGCCTGAGCAAGACGTTAAACCTTCTGGGAATTACAGGCTTGGCGCTATTGTTATAATGACAACATTTTTTCATGCTTTCTTTTGTTTTTGGTCAAGTCTCTGCGCATGAGAGACTGTTGTCAACTAAATCAGCGGTTGTTCGCTTTGAACGGGAAAAAAGTGTTTAATTGCCGAAATATCGGACTAGTTCAGCCAATGGCTGGGGCTCAGATTTTGAAACGAGAGACACACAGGCTCAGCGAGTCTCAGACTTTACCATTTGATACCCCTCCGTTAATGATGTGTTATATACCTTTTAACTGTGCATCACAATCCTTTTCGCAACTATTTTTTTATCACCCTGGATGATTTGACTATTTTGTTTTGTTTCTGACAGGTTTGATCAAGTTGAGTCAGTGGCAGATTTAGGGGAGGGGCCTTTTTTGGGGGAAAAATTAAACAAATAAATATTCTATAAAATGAAAAAATAACAAGTAAATCAGCTAGTTTCCTAATTCATTCGCTAATTTTAGTGGTAATTTCCATTTGATGCTTTCCCCAAACAAATCCATCATGCAAATTTTTCTGCCAAAAGTTTGCGCCATTTTAGTGTCCCCTTCTTAAAAAAATCCTGGATCCACCCCTGTTGAGTTGCCTGTGTTGATTTGTTTATTTCTTGTTTCATTTGAAGCTCAGTAAGTTTATTAGAGACTAATCAATGCAATAGCAAGAAAACGGAGCTAAAATAAGTCCTAGCAATACCAAATGATTATGAGGTGTGTCAATGCATCCAGTGTGACTTTAAAAATTACATGTAAGTGGGATTTTAAAAGACTTTGATAAATTCTAAGGGTGTACCTTTATGAAACCAATACTTGTGTACTTAAAGGCAATCAAACACTGTTTGTTTGGTGTGCTATCACTAAATTGATGCTATTTCAGAATGTAACTGCAATAATCAACATAACCTATGTTATGATCAAATTGCCATCAAGGGAATGTCTAAAACAATTGGATACTAATGATAATTAGTTATATAACACCAAAAAGGGCATAGTAATGGGCAAGAGAGTTTGGCAGGTCCCAGAAATCTGAGAAACTTTGTTATTTTTAAAAAATGCATAAGAAAAATAAATCAAACATTTTTCCTTGGTTCTTGCTGTGCCCCTGATCACCAACATTATTAGGGAACTTCAGATTTGACGAGATTGAGTACAAGTACGAGATTGAGTACGAGTACGAGTTTTCAAACCAGCTTTTATTGTGTTTTCCATACAGGATTTCTTTTGTGTTTCTTCTGTGTTTTTATTTCTTTGATGTTTTAATCTATTCACAGGAATGCAATCCATGATTAATATCACAATGAAGGCCAATTTTAAAACTCGTACTCGTACTCAATCTCATACTCGTTGTCAAATCTGAAGTTCCCTATTATCATTATGCAGATGGATCAGTCTCATTAATTGCTGGTTAGACTCTAATAACATACATGTACACTGTAGGATTTCATAATAATGTTGATCATGTGCTTTGCATACTTACCCTAATTTTCTGGTCCATCTTGGGCTTTCAGAACACTGTTGGAAAACTTATAACAAAATACAACTTATAAAAAACATAAAAATAACAACATATAAAAAATGAAAATGTAAGCAAACTCCTCTGGAAAATACAGGGGCGCTGTTAATAACACATGTATTTTTGCCTTTGCCAAGATATAAACTTTAATTTCTCGGTAGTTAAGAGAACGTACTTTAAAGCTTTACTTATAATGCATTCTTCATAAGGAATTCTTTTAATATAACGTGATATTCGCTTAACGTCTACCACGCGACACTTCTTGAACTTTGTTTAAATTTCCCGCGAAGAAAATTCGATTTAAAAAGAGCAAAATAGTTTAAAATTGGCTTAATTTTCGATCGTAAACCTTAAATAGGATGAAAAGCAAAATAGTCAATCAAATAAATTCAAATAGAATTTTACCTTAGCAGTTTTAGAGCGTCAAATACCTCATGATCGCATGAAATGTTGGAATCCTGTCGATTTCACACCCTAGCTGTTGTAACCTGGCCACATTATAATCAATTACGTCCCATATTTGGGCATTTTGTGCAAAAAGTTCGACCTAGATTTTTATTCTTACCTTTTCGAGGTTCATTTCAAAAAGACAGAAAAATGTACTGAAAAGTTAGCGTCTGATCCTTTCTCTTCAAAAAAATATTTGATTTAACCACATATTGGGTACCCTAGGTTAACCTAATTTGCATATCTAAAATGACATCGTCATTGTCGACGTTATGGTTTCTACCACAGTCATGGTGTCATCATTCACATCCACATTCAGTTAATGGCTGAATATCTTGAATATCTACCACCATACTCACTCCATACTATTCCAATCTACCATATCGCGCATATTCGAATACTATAAAATACTTCCGCATCAAAATGATCTATAAATATTCAAAATTTTATCCTAGTTTTGTCTTTCAAAATACTTCAAAATTTGATGAATCCTCGTGATTAAGGATAAAGTTCAGGTTTGCAGCATAGAGACTTGATCATCAGTATTTGTAAACAATCAAATCAAAAGTCACCTAGAAGACCAAAATTGTTTGTGCATGTAAATGGTGCCCGAAGCATCGATGCATAGTTAATTAATCATAACACGGCACATCAAGAACTGTTTACAGCGCATTTACCGAAACCATGACACCATATATTATGACTATCTATACCAAATTGAGAGCTTTGGCCTCAAGGAGTTTGAAAACTGAGGAGCTTTCTAAGTATGCTATTCTTCTGAATTCATAGTTACAAAAATTCTTGCTAGTATTTTTCAGAAACTGTGGTACAAATATAACAAAATAGCTGCTATCATGTGCTATGTTTTAGTATAAAATACTTCTAGAACTTTCAGGGTCATCAGTTCTCTCGTTCCCTAGTGTTATGTGGCATTTCATTTAAAGCAATTGTTTGCTTTCTGATTGGTTAGCTTGTGCGAATATCTGCTTGGATAGCCACGGTAAATTCCCCAAGTTCCCAGTACTGTTCAGCACAGTGCGAGCCGACAGTGATCTTGTGTGTAATCGTTGCACTACAATCTGTTGTTTAACACGAAAACAGCTATATAGATTACATCAATATAAATCGTTACATCAACCCCAAGAGCACTAACTACATTGGTCTTTTTGCTGGTCAGTTTTTCACAAGTTAAATCAGTACAAAGGATAGACAAGTTCAGTTTTGGTCACCGAAATTCAAGCTCTCAAATACGAAAATGTCTGACGGACTAAATTCATTCCCTATCTGGTTGAATGGTATTGCTCACACAATAAGTACCATTACGTCCGTCCCAAGTGGCAATAAGAAATTTGAACTTATTTCTTGGGCGCTGAGAATTATCGCTCAAATCATCGAGATCACTCTTGGAATCATCCTTCTTGCTAAAGATATCGTCCCAAAATTACAAGAAATCAAAACCCCAGCACTGAGAAACGAGTCAAATTCCTCAGTTATCGAATATCAAGAGGCCGCTTACCAAAATGCAGCATACGGTTATATCGTCTTTTTCTCACTCGAAATCGCTTCAGATTTAACGATTTGGGCATTTCTGGCGGTTAAAGGTCCAAAGAAATTCTCTACAAGAGTTTTGTTGTTTTTTTCTGTTTTCTTCGAATTGCCAATAATGTATTGTATATTACTTATGATGAGGGCCCAAGGTACAATCAACTGGGACAAACAAGGTTTTGAGCTCCTCTTTCATGTATGGTTCTTTGTAAACATAATGTTGCAGTTCACCGTTGGATATGCTGAAAAAGTCGCTAAAGAATGGCATTATGCGGCAGTAATCCTCCTCGTTCCTTTCTCGTACCTGATTTTGTGTTTACCGTATGCCTTTGTAATCCTACCGATCTCTAGTCGATGGAACAGGGGTATACCTTTTTCTGGATACTTGGAAGACAGCCAAAAATTTATTCATGGAACATTCACTTCTAGTCACGCCCATAACATGTTTGATTTCTTGATTTTTAGCGCTTTTGTTGGTCAGTGGACATGGACCATTATATCAGTAACTGGAAGTCTTGTTTTATTTGGTTTCTGTATAAAATCTGTAGCTTGTGGATGCTTGAAGGCTATTTTTGGTAGGTCCAATTAGTAGATGTGGTCTGTTCTTCACTTCTCAATCAGGGGTTAGATTGACTTCACGCATCTACAGCACATAAACTTGATCTATAAACTATCAGCAATGAAAGGTAAACAATTGTTTGTGCACAAGCAAAGCTGCACTCTTAAATATGAGAACACGCAACCGACAAATGCATCAAATGCAATTTTTTGTCACAGACTTGGACCAACAAATGTTAGAAATAGGCATGGTATAAACAGTGCATGGTATAAACAATGATAGATAATTATCAACGAATTCCGCAGCAAAAATGAAAGAAGAAAAAAAAAAGAAAAAGAAATGAATTAAATTTAAAAAAATTAGAGTTGCAGCGTAAAAAAATCAATTTGAAAATTTTCACACCAGCTTATTTGCGTTATAGAATCCAGGTCAGTCGAAATATTAATCAAAATTGTACTATTCAGTTGTAGGATTTTTTATACGTTAATTTGATTGATAATTACTTTAAAGTTACCTGACAATTTACATATGGCTTGAACAACAGCATAGAGTTGCAACATTTAAGATTTTTATCAAGTAGTGGATTAAAAATGTGAGAGTGAACTCACTTGTACTAACTTCTTTGTACTATAAATTATGCAAGTTAGTAAACGGTTCACAAAGAGCA